GTTGGGCTGAGTTACAATTTTTCCTGGGTTCTCTTCTTTCTTCCTTCAATAAATTTTATTTTTTATTTATCTACAAAAAAATTGTCCAAACCAGGCGGTTGATCTGTTGACCCGTTCAACCCGGTCATTGGGTCTACACACTAAACTCTGTTGAAACTTTTCAAGGCCATAACTTTGTGCTCGATTGTCTGATTGGGGTGATCTCTTTCTTTGATTTTTGGTTACTTTTCAAGACCTATGTGTTGCCCCACTATTTTTGCCAAAAACCCCTTTTTTTGGTCTTAAATTTCAATTTTTATCTTTTTATTCATAAAAAATAAAAAAATTGAAAGAAAAGATATAAATTAGACTTAATATAAACCATATATACAAATATTAAATGTAGAGTATAATTATATTATTTAATTAATATAATACTTGTTTATATAAATATATGTATATTGTGCTGATGTTTCACAGTTTTGCTTGTCCAACCCAAACAGTTGAACCGCTGACCCACAACCCAGAGGCAAGAATGGTTTATCCTCCAGGTTGTTTTTTAAAGCATTGGCTGTACTTTTCCATCAAACCCTTCAAATGGATAGAAATCAGAAACATTAAAAATAGGATTCATTTGAACTTTTGAAGTGCTTCCAACAACGCAGTGATACAAGCATTAGAGTTGATCTTCTTTAAGACCTTACTAGGCCCAAACTTTCTTGATTTCAGCTTATGAGTTATGTATGATATGTTTCCTTAGGAAACCTCCTTCAAATGGACAAGAACTTCATCACCTTTAGAAAATTTCTTTAGCTTTCTATGCTGATTTGCTGATGCAGCATAAGCTTCATTACTAGCTTCTATTGTAGGCTGGACCTCTTTATGGATGTACTTTATCCTCACCTTCCACACTCATCCTTCATTTGGTAAGGGAACAAGGCTTAAAACATATTGTGGTTAATGTCCATAAGCTATTTCAAAAGGTGTCTTTTTGATGGATTTATTTACTGAATTGTTGTAGACAAACTCAGCTTAGGTATGACAGCATCCCAAGTTTTTACATGGTCACCAATGAGACACCTCAACGTGTTGCTAAGACTCCAATTTATCATCTCTGTTTCCCCATCTGTTTGTGGATGACATGTACTAGAGTAGGTCAGCTTTGTAACCAAATTCCTCCATAATGTCCTGCAAAAGTGTACTATATAAACTTCACATTCTTATGTGATACAATAGAAGAAGGAAGCCAATGCAAACACGCCACCTCCTTCAAGAAGAATTCAGCTATTTTAGTAGTATCAATTGTCTTTGAGCAAGGTATGAAATGCACTATCTTGGAGAACCTATCCATGACCACAAAAGTTGAATCATGCCCCTTTGATGTCTTAAGAAGCCCAAGCACAAAATCCATGCTCAAGTGAACCTATGGAGAATCTGGAACTGGCAAAGGTGTATATGGTCTTGTGTTGAGTATTACCCTTTGCTAGTTGGCAAGCTCTACATCTTTTCACCACTTATTCCACATTCTTGTGCATCTCAGGCCAAAAAAAAAAGATCAGCCACCATAGTTAAAGTCTCATCCCTACCACAATGTCTTCTCAAATCTCCTTCATGGAGCTCTCTAATAATCTCTTAACGCAGAGATCCCTTTGGAATGCATAACTGTACTTTTATAAAGGCACCCATCATGGACAGCATTACCATACTGATTTTTCAACTCTTCAAAGCCCAAGACTTGTGTACATAACACATCTAGTTGTAGGACCCTTCTACTAAGTGCATGAACAACCTTATTGGACACTCTTGTCTTATGCTTTATTGAAAATGTGAATTCATGCAAGTAGGAAGTCCACTGGTCATGCTGTGGACCAGTATTTGGTGTGGTGCTCACCATGATCAGTATTTGGTTTGTAATCCTTTTTTGTTTTTGTCCTGTGTAGTGGAACCATTCTGTGATTTTTATTATTTTCCTGCCATCCAGCCTTTCTTGTGTAGTTTGGTTTCATATCATCGAATGAATTCTGTTCTGTTATGAAAAAAAATCTATAATTTTTTGATCACTATTATAAACATAAATAGTCTATGATCACCTTGAATAATGTATCAGTAGTAAATATGAATTTTACTAGAAATAGAAAGTCTTTGACTCTTGAGTAACTAGTCAACTACTAACAAACCCTAAAGCAAACTATGGTTTGTATTAAAGTATTAAACCTATTCCTAGAATTCATAGGGCTTTAACAAAAAGAGGCGGATGATCTGAAAGTAGTAGCTCTGTCACAGATTTGCATTTTGGCCATAAGTTGCTTAGTTAGTGCTTGAAATTGTGTGATTTTACTTGTTAATAGGTAGTCAATCTTTCTAAAAATCAAGCTAAGTAGACCGATTTTGATGTACCAAAATTAGAACACAAGTACGAAATTAGGATCATTTCCTCCTGTTTTATGCTAAGATCCAAGTTACATTTAACTTTGATGAAACAGGTATGCAATGAAAGTAATGATTTTCATCATAGACACATGTGTCCATATTTTGTATATAACTTGTTCAATATGCATGATATTGGGCTTACTGGATAAGTATTAGAATAAACTTCTCATACGACCCAAAATCAGGGCTTCATAAATTGGTTACTTAAAAGTGAAACTCATGCCTACACTGGATGTTTGGGCAGCTCCTATATTACACTGACTGAACCTTGGGTGTCAAGTCATATACATATAACTATTGACCATGAAAGGATACAACCTTGAAATTATCTTCATACTTTTTTTTATCAGGAAAAAGATGTTTTATTTAGATAAACGAAAACAGTACACTTTGATGACAACAATGTCATCCCCATTAACAATAACTTGATTACAAAGAAGCCCAGTACAGTTGCTGCCTTGCAGCCCCCTGCTTAGCTAGAGAGTCAGCTAACCCATTTTCGTTCCTTATCCATTTAAATTCCACATTTAAATCCATTGCAATCCTTTCAATTTCTTTGAAGGCATGCTTAAGAGTCCAAGGTATATGTCTGTTACACCTCATCCATGATATAATAACTTTGGAATCCACTTCCACCTCCACCTGTCTATAGCCCAGCTGCTTTGCCAGCCGAAGACCCTGAAGCAATGCTAACAATTCAGCCTTTAAAGAGTATGCAACGTCAATTGTCCTGAATATAATGCCAAAATCCTGCTCTCTGAATCTTTGGTTGCTCCATCAAAGTTCAGTTTCACTTTGTTACCTTCTGGGGATTTCTGTTCCACTTATTTTTTCTTTTTTTCAAGTAGATTGTGCTACCTCCTTTCATGCTCTTAGAATGCCAGTAATTGAGTAATTCTAAAAGCAGTTCAATGTCTTAACCCATAATGCAACCTTCACTTTTGTACTGTCTATTACCTCCTCCCAAGTCCTATTCTTTCCGGTGAATATTCTGTTATTCCTCTCTTCCCACACCACCCAAGAAATTGCTGCCTTAGTAGCTCTCCACATTTTTCTTTGGTTTCTTCAAGAAGTTTGGGTTGAAGATGTCCACCACCTCTTGAGGGAGGTCCCGCATGCAGCCAAAAAGAGAACAAAAAAACTTCCAAATAATTTGTACAAAGGGACATGAGGTAGTAACCAGGCCCAAAATTTTCCAAGTTTCGTTGTTTCGCTTCAATGTTAAATAATGAAAAAAAGTCAATCATGTTGCTTTCTTTGATGATTATTTATGCCACCCAATAAATTGCTGCCTTAGTAGCTCTTGACATTATTCTCCCTTTTTTCTTTGGTTGCCTCGAGGAGTTTGGATTGAAGATGTCCACCACCTCTTGAGGGGGATCCCACCTGCAGCCAAAAAGAGAACAAAAAGACTCCTAAATGCATTGTACAAAGCAACAGGAGATTAGTAATCGGGCCCAAAATTTGCCAAGTTTCTTAGTTTTGCTTCAGTGTTGAACACTGAAAAAAAAGTTAATCATGCTGCTTTCTTTGATGATGATGTATGCGGTATGCCATTGAAAGTCATCTTCAAATGCATTCGAGTTGAAAGTATCCGAGTTCCAATTCTGCTTTGCATCTCAATTATTTTGTGCGGTAAAAAATGATTAAATGCTAGAAACTAACCAAATGTCCATTATCCATTTTGAATAAAATTTCTATCTCTATGGATCTACCAATTTTCTAATTTAGCTTTCTGGTAGCACTGAATTCAACCCAACCCAACAAAGCCTCATCCAAACTATATAGGGTTGGACACAGAAGTCTTGTTTTGCCATTCCACCATCAGGGGCCAGATGCCTTGTTAAACCGTGAACCCTCAATCATTTCTTACCACCTCCACCCATATCCTTTTTGCCTTGTCTCTATCTCTTTTAGGCCCTTCAACTTGTGACAGGTCACTTATTACCAGTGCAGTAGGTGATGTTCTTAATTGCTTGCCCAAACCATCTTAGCCTTCTCTTCCATGCATTATCATCTTTTGGAGCTGTCTTAGAATTCCATGAGTATGCTCATTTCTAGTTATATTCTTTCTAGTTTTACCACTTGGTTGCCCAACACTGCTTGACACAACATTTCTGGCCTTACAGTTATCTCACAAGATTTTCCTTCTAGCTTTCTAATAGTATTCACTCCATATGCAGTTATCCATTCTGTTCACCCTAGACAAAAAGAGAAGGGAAAAATAGGAGATAGATATGCATTTAACATGGCATCATGTAACATAATGGGCTGAACTTTTGTTGTCCCACTAGGAAGCTACAAGGTTGAATGTCATTCTGAATGCACCATTAAGATCTAGTTTTTGAATTTGTTAGTTGGCTTGACTAACATCCCCATTATGTATTTTGATGGTTTATGAAGCTCATGACAGTTTGGACATTGTGCTCTAGATTACATAGACATTAAAGTTGAATGTGGTTTTCCTGGGTAACCATGTGATTGTTTTTTTAGCATTTTTATTTTTTCTTCTATCATGTGATATAGCCTAATGCTTTGATGCTTACCTTGCATAACATACATTTTATTTATGCATTTATTATTCTGTTCAGAGGATACATTAAAGGCCTTGAAAGAGAAGGCAAAAGAACCAGAACCTGAAGAACCAGAGCCAGAGCCAAGTACAGAAGTTCTTTTCCTCTGCAGCTATGAAGGCTGTGGAAAGACTTTTATTGATGCTGGGGCTTTGAGGAAGCATTCTCACATCCATGGAGAGAGACAATATGTCTGTCATTATGAAGGATGTGGAAAGGTAACTCGTTTTTCAATATTGTTTTTGATAAAATATAAAATGTCTTTATGTTGCTACATTGTTTTTGCATGGTATTCAACTATTTATATGCATCAGTCATTTTTCTGTATCTTTTCCTTGCTATCTGATTTTGGATTGCAAGGTAATTCCATCATGCAATTCAAAGTTTCAAACAACTTCTGTTGTTTGAAACTCGTTTTTCAATATAAAAACAAAGTGAAATGAAACTTAGGACCAGTTATCTTATTAGCAGTATAATCATGATCCTGATAGAACATGATTACAGGATTAGGAGAGAAAAATACTTTTTATATTTATTACCTCATAGTTATTTCAAGCAATGTTTAGAATGTCATATGAAAATACAGTTGGTCTTTGTCCCTAAAGGGTTCAGTCTACATCATGGACAAAATCATCAGAAACATGATGTTAACAATATGGGGACATCAGAAAACATTTTAAAATTTTTTAGGTGCTAAAACAAGCAGAGAAATAATACTTACAATTCATGGACTATTTTCTTGTCTCTTTCTTTCAACCCTATCAACCCATTGAAGGGAACACTTTTCCGGTTAGGGAAGTTTGGGGCAGTCCTATTGCTCCCAAGGTAAAGGTCCCCTCTTGGGAAGCAGCCAATCAAATCATAAACACCTTTGAGAGGCTTCAAAGGAAGTGGAAAAGCTGATGTCTATCCCCTCATGTATGTACCCTTTGTTTGAAGAGTGGGGAAACCACCAATCACATTCTGCTGTATTGCATCTTTGCTTCTCATTGTGGGAACACTTCTTTTCTTTGTTTGGATGTACTTGGGTGGCTCCAACAGAGGTTAAAGGTCTGCTTAGTATGAATTGGTTGAGAAGCACTACAAAAAGACAAAAAAATACCATGGCAATGTACAAAGGGGTGCTGTGCTTTGGGTGATTTGGAATGACAGAAATGCCAGAGTTTTTGAGGAGAAGGCAAGAAGGGTGGAAGATCTGCTTGAGCTCACCATGATAAGGGTGGCTCATTGGGCTTTGGTGTGTGATGATTGTAAGGGTGTCCCTAGATGACCTGTTAAAGGTGAAGGGATGAGAGATCGATCCCATGGATGCCCAAAGATTGCGGAATAAGGGGCGAATTTCAAAAAAAAATTTATCTCTCCCTTCAACTGGGAATCGTATTCCCTATTTAGAAAATCATATTTTCAAGGATCAATCTT